ATTACCCCAGGCAGGAATCAGCCAGGGTTTGAAGCTGCAAGGCTATTCAACACTAACTAAGCTGGCCAATTGCAACATTCACACTTGCCTCCAACAGACAAGAGTTCTTTCTCTCACCCTGGACATTCCAGACATATAAACTTCACTTGTTTAGTTTACAACAGATCTCACAACCTCTGAGGATGCCTGCCATAGATGTGGGTGAAACGTCAGGAGAAAATGCTTCCGGAACATGGCCAGAAAGTCCGGAAAACTCACAGCAACCCAGTGATTCCAGCCATGAAAGCCTTCGACAACACAGAAAGAGGGATGTTTATCCCTACTGGCTGCATGGGAAGACTCTTGTTTAGTTTCCAACAGATCTCACAACCTCTGAGGATGCCTGCCATAGATGTGGGTGAAACGTCAGGAGAAAATGCTTCCGGAACATGGCCAGAAAGTCCAGAAAACTCACAGCAACCCAGTGATTCCGGCCATGAAAGCCTTCAACAACACAGAAAGAGGGATGTTTATCCCTACTGGCTGCATGGGAAGACTCTTGTTTAGTTTCCAACAGATCTCACAACCTCTGAGGATGCCTGCCATAGATGTGGGTGAAACGTCAGGAGAAAATGCTTCCGGAACATGGCCAGAAAGTCCAGAAAATTCACAGCAACCCAGTGATTCTGGCCATGAAAGTCTTCGACAACACAGAAAGAGGGATGCTTATCCCTACTGGCTGCATGAGAAGACACTCTGCACATGCTCAAAGGCACGGAATCTTTCTCCGATCCTTCAAACGACAGGAAAGGAGATTCCACCTGAACATTAGGAGATTCCACCTGTTCAGCAGTGGAACTCTCTGCCGCAGGGTGTGGTGGCAGCTCCTTCTTTGGAGGCCTTGAAACAGAGGCTGGATGGCCATCTGTCGAGGGTGCTTTGAATGCGATTTTCCTGCTTCTTGGCAGAATAGGGTTGGACTGGATGGCCCACGAGGTCTCTCCCAACTCTCGGATTCTATGATTCTGAGCCCTAAGAGACCTTAAAAACATGGAAAGTGGCCTCACGAATTAAGGAACTGAGCTCCTGCTATCACCTTAAATTACCTTAGCAATCCTTCCTCATATTCACAACATGGCAGTCCCCAGGTTTACAATCTGCAAAGACATGGCAATCTGAAAGGAAAGACGGAGGAAGAGGGAAAGGAAATAAATAATACCATCTTCCTCTTCCTTTCTCTGACCGTTGGGGTCTTTTCCAGCTCTATGTTTCTAAGGTTAATGCTGAAGTTGTCCCTCGTTCAACTAAACCACAGTGTCCCCCTTTTCTCTTGCACCCCAAGAGGCGAATGTCTTCTTAAACCAGGCCTAGAATAATCCCCAGTTCTTTTGAGGTCATAACAAGCATGGCAACCAACTATAGCTTCCACCTGGACCACGACAAGCAAGGCAACCAACTATGGCTTTCATGTGGAACACAACAAGCATGGCTACCAACTACGGTTTCCATCTGGACCACAACAAGCATGGCAACCAACTATGGCTTCTATCTGGACCACAACAAGCATGGCTATCAACTATGGTTTCCATCTGGACCACAACAAGCATGGCAACCAACTATGGCTTCCATCTGGACCACAACAAGCATGGCTACCAACTATGGTTTCCATCTGGACTGCAACAAGCGTGGCTACCAACTATGGTTTCCATCTGGACCGCAAGCATGGCAACCAACTATGGCTTCCATCTGGACTGCAACATGCATGGCAACCAACTATGGTTTCCACCTGGACCACAACAAGCATGGCAACCAACTATGGCTTCCATCTGGACCACAACAAGCATGGCAAACAATTATGGTTTCCATCTGGACCACAACAAGCATGTCTACCAATTATGGCTTTTATCTGGACCACAGCAAGCATGTCTACCAATTATGGTTGCCATCTGGACCACAACAAGCATGGCTACCAACTATAGTTTCCATCTGGACCACGACAAGCACGGCTACCAACTATGGCTTCATATGGACCACAACAAGCTTGGGAATGGACTATGGCTTCCATCTGGAATAAACAAGCATGGCAATCAACTATGGCTTCCATCTGGACCAAAACAAGCAGGGCTACCAGGTATGGCTTCCATCTGGACCACAACAAGCATGGCAACTAAGTATGGCTTCCATCTGAACCACGACAAACATGGCAATTGACTATGGCCTCCCTCTAGATCACAACAAGCATAGCAACCAACTATGGCTTCCATCTGGACCACAACAAACATGGCTACCAACTATGGCTTCATATGGACAACAACAAGCATCGGAATAGACTATGGCTTCCATCTTGAATAAACAAACATGGGAACCAACTATGGCTTCCATCTGGACCACAACAAATATGGCAATCGACTACGGCTTCCATCTGGATCACAACAAGCATGGCAAGGAACTATGGTTTCCACCTGGACCACAACAAGCATGGCAACCAATTATAGTTTCAATTGAACCACAACAACTATGGTTTTCATCTGGGCCACAACAAACATGGCTACCTACTATGGCTTCCATCTGGACCACAACATGCATGCCATGGCTTTCACCTGGACCACAACAAGCATGGTAATCAACTATGGCAGTGGTTCTCAACCTGTAGGTCCACAGTCCTTTTGGCCTACAACCAGCTGTTATGATTTCTGGAAGTTGAAGATCAAAACATCTGGGAACCCACAGGTTGAGAACCACTGAACTATGGCTTCCATCTGGACCACAACAAGTATGGCAACGAAGTATGGCTTCCAACTGAACCACAACAAGCATGGCTACCAACTACGGCTTCTATCTGGACCACAACAAGCATGTCTACCAACTATGGCTTCCATCTGGTTACACAGCAAGCATGGCAATGAATTATGGCTTCCATCTGGACCACAACAATCATGGCTACCAACTATGGCTTCTATCTGGACCACAACAAGTATGTCTATCAGTTATGGTTTCCATCTGAACCACAACAACTATGGTTTCTATCTGGACCACAACAAGTATGCTTATGGCTTCCATCTGGACCACCACAAGAATGGCAATCGGCTATGGCAGGGGTAGGGAACCTTTGGCCCTCCAGCTGTGGTGGACTTCAACTCCCACAATTCCTTGAGGCTCGGCATTGGGCCAAGGTAAGCCTTTGGGGCGAATGCCGAGCCTCAAGGAATTGTGGGAGTTGAAGTCCACCACAGCTGGAGGGCCAAAGGTTCCCTACCCCTGGGCTATGGCTTCCATCTGGACCGCAACAAGCATGGCAACCAACTATGGCTTCCATCTGGACCAAAGCAAGCATGGCAACCAATTATAGTTTCAATCTGGACCACAACAAGCAAGGCAACCAACTATGGTTTTCATCTGGACCACAACAAACATGGCTACCAACTATGGCTTCTATCTGGACCACAACAAACATGGCTACCAACTATGGCTTCTATCTGGACCACAACAAGCATGGCTACCAACTATAGCTTCCATCTGGACCACAACATGCATGGCTACCAACTATGGCCTCCATCTGGACCACAACAAGCATGGCTACCAACTATGGACTCCATCTGGACCACAACAAGCATGGCTAGCAACTATAGCTTCCATCTGGACCACAACATGCATGGCTACCAACTATAGCTTCCATCTGGACCACAACATGCATGGCTACCAACTATGGCTTCTATCTGGACCACAACAAGTATGTCTACCAACTATGGACTCCATCTGAACCACAACAAGCATGGCTAGCAACTATAGCTTCCATCTGGACCACAACATGCATGGCTACCAACTATAGCTTCCATCTGGATCACAACATGCACGGCTACCAACTATGGCTTCTATCTGGACCACAACAAGTATGTCTGCCAACTATGGACTCCATCTGGACCACAACAAGCATGGCTAGCAACTATAGCTTCCATCTGGACCACAACAAGCATGGCTAGCAACTATAGCTTCCATCTGGACCACAACATGCATGGCTACCAACTATGGCTTCTATCTGGACCACAACAAGTATGTCTACCAACTATGGCTTCCATCTGGACCACAACAAGCATGGCAATGAAGTATGGCTTCCATCTGGTTACACAACAAGCATGGCAATGAATTATGGCTTCTATCTGGACCACAATGAGCATGTCTACCAACTATGGCTTCCATCTGGACCAGGCCTCTATCCCTTCTTCTCCTATCTCTTTGGGACAACAATGTGAACCAGAATATATTACTCACGATCATCAAATCCACCCAAGGAGAGCGAGATTCTAGAGACCAGGGTCTGGCCTGTTTTGTTTCTCAGCCAAGGGACCTGCTCCTCCTGCTTCCAAAGGAAGGCAACCAGCCCCAGAGAAGCCACAATCAGGGAGAGTGAGGCAGAGGCTCCTTCAGGCAACGGATTTTATGGATCCGGATTAGCTGTTTAATCCGCTATGTTGTCTCTCTCTGGAGCCAAAGAAGGGAGAGAGATGATACCTCCAGGGCTTTCTGCCCCAATCTTGGGCTCCTCCAGGGAAGGAAGGGAAGGAGGGCTGGGGAAGGCCATCTCCTGGGGCCTGTGTCTACCATACCTTCTCCTACCTTGAGAAGGGAGGCTGTGGCTGACTCCCTTCTTCCTCTCCTCCTTCTCCTCTTTCTTCCTCCCTCTTGTCTCTCTCTGTCTCTTTCTCCTCCCAAAGGCCGAGGAAGCAGGGCCATCTGGCAACGCGGCAGCAGCCGAGAGTGAATGGGGGCGGAATCAAGGGGAGGGGGAGGCAGAATCCCTTCCTCCTCCTCCTCCTCTTCCTCCTCCATCCCTTCTTCCTCCCTCTCTCTCTCTCTCTTTCCCTCCCTCTTTCCCTCTCTGTCGCATTGAGAGGCCCCCTGAGCCGGGAAAGGAGACAATAGACGGGCCCTGCGTTCCCTCCTGGTTGCTTCTATCCCTCCATCCTTCTATCCATCCTTTCTTCCTTCCTTCCATCCCTCCATCGTGGCTCTTTCACACTCACCTCGTTCGCCGCCTCCGCCTCCACCGTGCATCGCCCTTTGAGCTCCTCTCCGGCAGCGTCAGCATCGCAGGTGGCGCCGGGGAGGAGAGGAAGGGAGGAAGGAAGGAAGGAAGGGAGGAAAGAAGGAGGGAAGGAGAGAGAGAGAAAGGGAGGGAAGGAAGGAAGGGGAGCCTCCCCACTCTCTTGCACCCGCCCCCTTCCCTCTTCCCCTCCCTATCGCCTTCTTTTCCTCGTCCCCCTCCTTCTCCCCTTCTATCCTTCCCTTCCTCCCCTTTCTTTTTCCTGCTTTTCTTTCCCTCCTCCTTCCCTCCTTCTTTGCCCTTTCCTTTCTTTTCTGTCCCCACTTCTTCTTCCTTCCCTCCCCTTTCTTATTTCCTCCCTCCTTCCTATCCGTCCACCTTCCCTCCTTCCCCTCCTTTCTGCCCCCACTTCTTTTTCCTTCCTTCCCCTTTCTTATTTCCTTCCTCCCTCCTATCCTTCTACCTTCCCCTCCTCCTTCTTACTCTTTTTTTCCTTTTCTTTCCCTCCTCCTTCCCTAACCCTTTGCCCCTTCCTTTCCTTTCTGTCCCCACTTCTTCTTCCTTTCCTCCCCTTTCTTATTTCCTCTCTCTTTCCTATCCTTCCCTCCTTCCCCTCCTCCTTCTTGCTCTTTCCTTTCTTTTCTCCTTTTCTTTCCCCCCTCCTTCCCTCCCTCTTTGCCCCTTCCTTTCCTTTCTGCCCCCATTTCTTCTTCCTTGCCTCCTCTTCCTTATTTCCCCCCTCCTTCCTTTCCTTCCACCTTCACTCCTTCCCCTCCTCCTTCTTACTCTTTTCTTCCTTTTCTTTCCCCCCTCCTTCCCTCCCTCTTTGCCCCTTCCTTTCCTTTCTTCCCCCACTTCTTCTTCCTCCCCTTTCTTATTTCCTCCCTCATTCCTATCCTTCCACCTTCACTCCTTCCCCTCCTCCTTCTTACTCTTTCCTTCCTTTTCTTTCCTTCCTTTTCTTTCCCCCCTCCTTACCTCCCTCTTTTCCCCCTTCTTTCCTTTCTGTCTCCACTTCTTCTTCCTTGCCTCCCCTTCCCTATTTCCTCCCTCCTTCATATCCTTCCACCTTCCTTCCTTCCCCTCCTCCTTCTTACTCTTTCCTTCCTTTTCTGCTTTTCTTTCCCTCCTCCTTCCCTCCTTCTTTGCCCTTTCCTTTCTTTTCTGTCCCCACTTCTTCTTCCTTCCCTCCCCTTTCTTATTTCCTCCCTCCTTCCTATCCGTCCACCTTCCCTCCTTCCCCTCCTTTCTGCCCCCACTTCTTTTTCCTTCCTTCCCCTTTCTTATTTCCTTCCTCCCTCCTATCCTTCTACCTTCCCCTCCTCCTTCTTACTCTTTTTTTCCTTTTCTTTCCCTCCTCCTTCCCTAACCCTTTGCCCCTTCCTTTCCTTTCTGTCCCCACTTCTTCTTCCTTTCCTCCCCTTTCTTATTTCCTCTCTCTTTCCTATCCTTCCCTCCTTCCCCTCCTCCTTCTTGCTCTTTCCTTTCTTTTCTCCTTTTCTTTCCCCCCTCCTTCCCTCCCTCTTTGCCCCTTCCTTTCCTTTCTGCCCCCATTTCTTCTTCCTTGCCTCCTCTTCCTTATTTCCCCCCTCCTTCCTTTCCTTCCACCTTCACTCCTTCCCCTCCTCCTTCTTACTCTTTTCTTCCTTTTCTTTCCCCCCTCCTTCCCTCCCTCTTTGCCCCTTCCTTTCCTTTCTTCCCCCACTTCTTCTTCCTCCCCTTTCTTATTTCCTCCCTCCTTCCTATCCTTCCACCTTCACTCCTTCCCTTCCTCCTTCTTACTCTTTCCTTCCTTTTCTTTCCCCCTCCTTCCCTCCCTCTTTTCCCCCTTCTTTCCTTTCTGTCTCCACTTCTTCTTCCTTGCCTCCCCTTCCCTATTTCCTCCCTCCTTCATATCCTTCCACCTTCCTTCCTTCCCCTCCTCCTTCTTACTCTTTCCTTCCTTTTCTGCTTTTCTTTCCCTCCTCCTTCCCTCCTTCTTTGCCCTTTCCTTTCTTTTCTGTCCCCACTTCTTCTTCCTTCCCTCCCCTTTCTTATTTCCTCCCTCTTTCCTATCCTTCTACCTTCCCTCCTTCCCCTCTTCCTTCTTACTCTTTCCTTCCTTTTCTCCTTTTCTTTCCCTCCTCCTTCCCCCCCACCCCTTTGCTCCTTCTTTTACTTTCTGTCCCCACTTCTTCTTCCTTCCCTCCCCTTTCTTATTTCCTCCCTCCTTCCTATCCTTCCACCTTCCCCCTTCTTCTTACTCTTTCCTTCCTTTTCTCCTTTTCTTTCCCTCCTCCCTCCCTCCCCCTTTGCTCCTTCCTTTACTTTCTGCCCCCACTTCTTCTTCCTTCCTTCCCCTTTCTTATTTTCTCCCTCCTTCCTATCCTTCCACCTTCCCTCCTTCCCTCCTCCTTCTTACTCTTTCCTTCCTTTTCTCCTTTTCTTTCCCTCCTCCTTCCCTCCCTCTTTGCCCCTTCCTTTCCTTTCTGCCCCCACTTCTTTTTCCTTCCTTCCCTATTTCCCTCCTTCCTATCCTTCCACCTTCCCTCCTTCCCTCCTCCTTCTTACTCTTTCCTTCCTTTTCTCCTTTTCTTTCCCTCCTCCTTCCCTCCCTCTTTGCCCCTTCCTTTCCTTTCTGCCCCCACTTCTTTTTCCTTCCTTCCCTTTCCTTTCCCTTTTCTATTTATTCCCTCTTTCCTTTCCTTCCCCTCCTTACCTACCCCTTTCCTTTTCTTCCTTCCTCTTTTCCCCTTCCTTTCTTCCATTCTTCCTTCCCTTCCTTTCTTCCCTCCCTCCTACCCTCTCTCCTTTCTACCCCAACTTCTTCTTCCTTCCTTTCCTTCCCCTTTCCTATTTCCTCCCTTCTGCCTTTCCTTCCTCCTATCCTTCTTTCCTTCTACCTTTCCTTCTTTCCTCCCTTCCATCCTCCCCCTTTCTTCCCTCCTTCTTAGTACATTTCCTCCCTTTTCTCCTTTTCTTTCTCTCCTCTTTCCCTCCCACCTTTCCTCCCTCTCTCCTTTCCCCTTCCTATAAATAATAATAATAATAATAATAATAATAATAATAATAATAATAATAATAGAAGCAACTGAAGAAGCTGACACAATATGAGGATTTAAAGATCAAACTGCAAAGACTGTGGCACAAGCCAGTAAAAGGGGTCCCAGTGGTGATCGGCACACTGGGTGCAGTGTCTCAAGACCTTGACCTGCACTTAAACACAATTGGTGCTGACAAAATTACCAGCTGCCAGCTGCAGAAGGCCACCTTACTGGGATCTGCACGCAGATTACCAACAACAAAAATTACAACAAGGAATTAAGCATCAAAATAATATCAAAAATAGAAGCAATCCATTAACACATAAAAGCTAACACATAAATAAGCATTGCAATGTACACCCTCAAAACAAATTATGAGACATTAAGTTAAAAATGGCTGACAACAGTGTTATATTTAAGTCGTATCATTACAGTCATCTAATACACTGTTCAGAATCTTGAAAGAGAGTGTGCTGTCAGGGTGATGCCATATGCCAGCAAATATGAAAACACAAGAATGGCCATCAGACTGGAAAAAATCAACTTCTATCCTCATCCCAAAAAAGGGAAATGCTAAAGACTGCTCAAACTTCCATACAGATGCCATTATTTCTCATACCAGTAAGGGAATGCTCAAGATCCTGCAAGGAAGACTCCAGCAAGACATGGAGAGAGAGTTGCCAGATGGACAAGCTGGGTTTAGGAAAGGCAGCGGGATGAGAGACCACATTGCCAACATCCGGATGCTGGAGAATGGAGAAAGGCAGGGAGTTTCAGAAAAACATCTATTTCTGTTTTACTGACTATTCTAAAGCCTTGGACTGTGTGGATCATAATAAATGGTGGCAAGTTCTTGGTGGTCTGGGCATACCAAATCCCCTTGTCTCTCTCCTGAGGAATCTGAATGAGGACCAAGTAACAACAATAATAACTGACCATGGAACAACAGACTGGTTCAAGATTGGGAAAGGCATACAGCAGGGTTGTATCCTCTCTCCCAACCTATTCAACTTGTATGCAGAACACACCATGCAATGTGTGGGGCTTGAGGAATGCAAGGCTGGGGTGAAAATTGCTGGAAGAAACATTAACAACCTTAGATATGCAGATGACACCACTCTGGTGGCCAAAAGCGAGGAGGAGCTAAGGAGCTTTCTAATCAAGGTGAAAGAAAAAAGTGCAAAAGCTGGGTTGCAGCCAAACATTAAAAAACCCAAGATTATGGCAACAAGAATGATTGACAACTGGGAAATAGAGGGAGAAAACGTGGAGGCCATGACAGGGTTTGTATTTCTAGGTGCAAAGATGACTGCAGACGCAGACTGCAGCCAGGAAATCAGGAGACGCTTCCTTCTTGGGAGGAGAGCAAGGACCAATCTCGCTAAAATAGTGAAGAGTAGAGACATCACACTGGCAATGAAGATCCGTATCATTAAAGCAATGGTATTCCCTGTAGTCACCTACGGATGTGAGAGCTGGACCTTAGGGAAGGCTGAGCGAAGGAAGAGAGATGCTTTTGAACTGTGGTGTTGGAGGAAAGTGCTGAGAGTGCCTTGGACAGAGAGAAGATCCAACCAGGAAATAAAGCTCGACTGCTCACTGGAGGGAAGAATAGTAGAGGCCAAGGTGGAGTCCTTTGGCCACACCATGAGAAGGAAAGGAAAGCTTAGAGAAGATAATGATGCTGGGGAAAATGGAAGGAAAAATGCCAGGGTGGGGACTTGTCTAATCTCTCTGGGGAGCGCATTCCAGAGCTGAGGGGCCATCACAGAAAAGGCCCTTTCCCTCGTCCCCGCAAGTCGCACTTGCGATGGGGGCAGGAGCGAGAGAAGGGCCTCCCCAGATGAATGAAGAGATCGTGTAGGTTCATACACAGAAATGCGGTCACGCAGGTAGGCGGGTCCCAAACCGTTCAGGGCTTTGTAGGTAAGAACCTGCACCTTGAATTGGGACCGGAAAATGAACGGCAGCCAGTGGAGCTCCTTAAACATATGTAACATTTAACATATGTAACATACGTAACATTTGCCAGTCAACCCATGTTTGTTTGTTTGTTTTCAAAGGTGCATTTGTGTGTTGTAGGTTTTTCTGGGCTATATG